ATGATCCGTGTCAATGTAGTTTCAATTGCCATGTTGTGCACTGCAATAAAGCAGTGCTGTGTGTGGTTTGTGGTGATTTGATTTACGTGTGCTGACGCACACGTGAACTCGCACCGACGCCGTTATGGACCAAATACCGAGGTGCCCTTGAGTCAATCAAAATTACGAGCGAATATCTTCGATTCCCCTTATGTTTCTTATGTTGTTCTGTTTGGTTCCCTACTTCGTGTGAGAGAACCTCGGTGTCTCAAGAAGAGTGCTACCGACAAGGACAACCACGGGGACAACCATCGGGACAATCATCGGGACAACCATCGGGACAATCATCGGGACAACCATCAAAACAACCAGCGGGACAACCATCGGCGGCCGCGCCCGGCTTGGGGCGGGGGGCGGGGGGGGCGGGCGACCTTTTGGGCTCCATGTGGCCTCTGCAACTGCAGGAACTCGCGCAGCTTCGCCTCGCCCGCACGCACGACACGAATCGAAACTGAAACCGATTTCCCAGTTGGGGCCGACTACGTTTGCATATTCTTGCAAATTTTGTGCGCACCTTTGGAGGGAGCCTGGTGAGTACGGGGCAGGTTACAAACATGTTGAATGGCTGTTTTCAGAACTGGCCACATGCAGATTCGGCCACGTGATCTGATAACAGCTCGGATCTTAGCCCTTGCGCGCCCAGTAAAATCACAACATCGTGCCTGACGAACACGCAGCCACATTGGATACACGATCGATCACAAGTGAACCAAATCGTCGATGACAACGATCTGGGTGATCGATGGTACGGTAAGTAGTACCGGCGCTATGTCACGAACATGTACACATCGTATCAGAGAAACCGAAAGGCACGCGACTCCAACACCGATTGAGCGGCAGGCGAGGCGGCTGAACGGGTTGGCCAAAGAAGAGTCGCTGGGCGTTGCACGCACTTGCCGTCGCTCGGACGTCCATGTCCCTTGCATTTTTCGGTTTCGTGCGTGTTTTTGTTGGCTCGATGGTCCAGGATGGCCCTCGATGGTTCTGGCCGGGAAAACATGCACACGTCCGAGCGATGCCAAGCGCAAGCAGGGGGGGCGAGGGCCTTGGCGTAGTGCGGGGCGATGCCGTGGCCCTGGTAGCCGTCGCCGGCCGTCATGGCTGCAGGCAGGCGGAGGGGCGCCTGCGGCGAGTGAGAGGCGGCGTGGGATCTCACCCCCCAGCTCTGAAGTGAGGGGCCAGAGAAGGGGAGGACGGAGAAGGGGAGGAGGGAGGAAGAGGAGGAGGAGGAGGAGGAGGAGGAGGAGGAGGAGGAGGAGGAGGAGGAGGAGGGAGGGAGGGGAGGGAGGGAGGGAGGGAGGGAGGGAGGAGGGAGGGAGGGAGGGAGGGAGGGAGGGAGGGAGGGAGGGAGGAGGAGGAGGAGGAGGAGGGGAAGGGAGGAGGAGGAGGAGGAGGAGGAGGAGGAGGATGGGAGGAGGGAGGAGGGAGGAGGGAGGAGGAGGGAGGAGGAGGAGGTACCCGAGAGGAGGGGCAGAAGAGGTGGCACTGCTCCTCGCTTCCCGTGGCCCTGGCCCTGCCTCAAGCCATCTCTGGACTCGGAGCCGGCCGAGGGGGAGGACGGCGCGGGCCGCAGCGGCGGGGCGGCGGGAGGCAAGTAGGCCAACACTGAAGGGGCCTCAGGACACACAAACATATGCACACAAATAAACATATTCACCATATTTCCACATATTTTCTGGGTTTCTGTCTTCCCCCCCCCACTTCCAATATTTTCCCATATTTTCTGGGGAATCGACGATTAATTGTGTCTGTGTGTTTTTTCTCCTCCTGGAACACCCTGGCCTGTGTGGGACGACTCGGTTCTGCCATGGATGTCGGGCGCGTCGGAAGCTGACCGAGAACCAGCCTGCGTGTATGCTGTGGCACACAGGGATCGGGCAAACGGCCCCAGTTCCTCTTCTGGGGGATCCCCCCCCGACCCTTCAAACCACTGCGACACCGAAGCGAAGAGTCTCCAGAAAGAAACACACATGCTGCGCAGCGTTTAGGAACCAATTGCCAACGAAACTCTTCCACCACAGGCTTTCATCCTGTTTTTCTTACAACAAGGGGGAAACAGGGAAGGGTAAGAGGAACGCGAGTAGCAAGACAAGGGAGGTATAGCAGGAGGAGTGAAATCTGATAAGTAGGAGATATACGATGATGGCGACTGAATGAACTTGGAGCGTGGGCGCTGGTGGGGGGCTAAACATTTAAGCGCACGTGCCTTCTTCAGCGACCAAACATCAATGAGAAACCACTGCAAGGCATGTGGATACAGTTGTGGACATACTTGCGCTGCGTCTCCCTTTCTCTTTCTGGTATGTTTGTGTTTGTTGATTGTCTATGCTCCCCTCTTTCTCTGCAACTCTTTCTCCCTCTCTTCCTTCCTCCCTCCCTCCCTCCCCCTCTTCCTCTCCTTCTCTCTCCCCCTTTTTTTTTTTCTCTCTCTCTCTCTCTTTCTCTTTTGTCTCTCTCTCTCTCTTTCTCCCCCTCTCTCTCCCTCCCTCTCTGCCTTTCTTTCTATCAATAACTCTGTCTGTCTGTCCGTCTGTCTGTCTCTCTCTCTCTCTTTCTCTCTTATCCCTCCTTCTCTCTCTCTCTCTCTCTCTCGCCTGGGCTCGAGCTCCCTCGTGGAGCGGGCGTAGCCACCAGGTGCCCACCTCCAGGGGCTCGCTCTAAATCTCCACGGTCGGGCTGGCTTCGTGCCCCTGGCGCGGCACCACACAGTACTACCTCTCCTCCTCGCCTCCCCCGCCTGCCGCGCCCTGGTCCCGCATGCTGCCGCCCCTGCAGCGACCGCACGGACCAGGCCCACTGCGTCAACGCTGCGGCGTGAACGCACGCGGGCAGCGGCAACTGCCTTGGCGGCCGATTCCGCCGGTCCGGCTCGGGAGGCCTTCGGCAGGGACTACCTCACCATCCGTGTCGGCGAGTCGCCCTCCATCGATGACTTCAGCAGCATGTGCACGCCGCTCTTTGATCCCCTCTTCGCTTGCACACACCCCGTGACCCTTGTGCTGATCCACACCACCCCCACGCAGTGTCAGAGAGTGCACATACCATGCGGAATCCGAGACGACGTTCGCGTCGTCGTACGACTGAATCAGCCCCTGGAGCCCCGTCGCACAGGAGGATCACAAGAAAACGTCCACCGAGACGTGCTTCTGCACGAGCCTCGAACTGACCTCCAAACTCTCCATCCGGGGGGGTTCGAGCCTGCGGCACCGCCGGTGCGAGCCGGCACGAAACACCCCCGGTACTTAAGCACGAACCTCCCCGGTAGCCGGCACGAACCCCCCCGGTAACCAAGAACCCCTCCTGTATGCACGAACCTCCCTGGTATGCACCAACCTCCCCCCGGATGCGTGACCGCCCCCAGGACGTGCCGCAACGAGGCGGCACTGCTCTTCTGTATGCGGCCGTTCCGTCGACCTCTCCCAGGAGGCTCGGAACGTCATTCGGGGCAGGTGGCCCACCCGGGAGTTGCAGCTGCCTCCTGTTGCCACGTGCCCAGCAATGTCGACAACAGCGCTGCCACTTCCTCCTCCTCCTCCTCCTCCTCCTGGTCCTCCTCCTCCTCCTCCTTCTCCTCCTCCTCCTCCTCCTCCTCCTCCTCCTCCACCTCCTCCTCCTCCTCCTCCCACTCCACCCGCACCCCCGCCCCACCCCCACCCCCCACTCCCACCCCTCCCCGTCCCACGGAGGGAGGGCAGGGTCCAGGTCGAAGCCCACCCCAATGCGGCCTCTGCGCGAACCCCCCCCTCGGTAAAGGGACGGGGGGGGGGCTCTGAGCCGTCGGCGGCACCCGGTGCGGCCTGCACGAAACCCGCGCGGTAGCACTGGGGGGCGGCTGCGTGCCACGGGGCACCGCCGACAGGCATCCGTGTGCGCGGCTGTCGCGGCAAGGCTGCCTGCGAACTCTGCGGCTCGTCGCCGCCTTCGCTGCCAGGTCTGCCACGGCCCCCCTTGCCACTCCTCCTTGCCTCTCCTCCCTTTGTGCCCCCCCGCCTGCCTTTGGCTGGCTTTGGCACCTGCTCGCTGTAGGCCTGTGCCCCCTTCCCTTCTCGGACTGATGGGTCGGTCCCGGTTTCCTGGTTGTTCCACGCTGCTTACTCGCTCCCCCCGCCATCCAACCCCGGATGGCTCGTAGCACCCTCCACCGCACCGTAGTCTCGTCTTCCCACCGTACGCCCGGATGGCTTATGGCTGCTGGCGGCTGCGGGACCCGAAGCGGTCTCTGAGGGCTCGGGCGGGGCGTAATTAGTCGTGGGCGCGTCTGCTGAATTTCGACCTTCTCCGCCCTGTCGCTGCGCGCAGGGCCGCGACGCAACAAGTGTGTGTGTGTGTGTATGTGTGTGTGTGTGTCTGTGTGTCTGTGTGTGTATGTGTGTATGTGTGTCTGTGTGTCTGTGTGTGTGTGTGTATGTGTGTATGTGTGTCTGTGTGTCTGTGTGTATGTGTGTATGTGTGTATGTGTGTATGTGTGTATGTGTGTATGTGTGTATGTGTGTATGTGTGTATGTGTGTATGTGTGTATGTGTGTATGTGTGTGTGTGGATGTGTGGATGTGTGGATGTGTGGATGTGTGGATGTGTGGATGTGTGGATGTGTGGATGTGTGGATGTGTGGATGTGTGGATGTGTGGATGTGTGGATGTGTGGATGTGTGGATGTGTGGATGTGGATGTGTGGATGTGTGGATGTGTGGATGTGTGGATGTGTGGATGTGTGGATGTGTGGATGTGTGGATGTGTGGATGTGTGGATGTGTGGATGTGTGGATGTGTGGATGTGTGGATGTGTGGATGTGTGGATGTGTGGATGTGTGGATGTGTGTATGCGTGTGCGTGTGCGTGTGCGTGTGCGTGTGCGTGTGCGTGTGCGTGTGCGTGCGTGTGTGTGTGACTCCTTTTGCTCCTCCTCCTTCCTCCTCCTTTTCCGGTAATGATTCCTGCGTCCCGAAGCCTCGCCGCCCGCCGAGGCGATTTGCTGGTCTCGAAGCTGGGCCTGCAGCCCGAGAATGTCCTGCTGCACTGGGCGGGCTCCATGCTGGCGTGGCGGAACACGTGCATACAGCAAGCAGGCGGGCACGCCCGCCAGATTCGGCGCTCGCAGGAGGAGGAGGCGGAGGAGGAGGAGGAGGAGGACGACGACGAGGACGAGGAGGAGGAGGAGGAGGAGGAGGAGAGGCGGAGGCGGAGGCGGAGGAGGAGGAGGAGGAGGAGGCGGAGGCGGAGGCGGAGGCGGAGGAGGGGGAAGAGAAGGAGGAGGAGGAGGAGGAGGAGGAGGAGGAGGAGGGGGGGGTCGAAGAGTAATTCAAGACCTGCGCGGGCCTGACCTTTCGGAGACTCGCGCGGATTCTTTTGGGTTGGCGCTGGACTCCCTTGCCCCACCTCTCTGGCGCCGCCTGCGGCGCGCTCCGCGCGCAAGAAACGGGGCGTGCGCAGGGGGGGTCCAGCGCCGACCGAGGAAGCCCGTGCGGACCTGCGACAGTTTGACGTCTTGCCGCTTTTCGTCCTCGTCGAGGGCGGGGTGCAGCCAGACGCGTGTCCACTTCCAGCCAACTGGTTTGCACTTTGGACTACTGTCCCTCGTTTTCGCTAATGGAGGGCCATGCGCCAAACACCAAAAGCCATGCACCAATCACCAAACACGGACTGGTTACCAAACACCACACGCGGAACACTAAACACGAAGCACCAATCCGAGAGGCTTACGAGAGGCTCTCGGTAGATTTCAAGAGGTTTCTGAGAGGTTCCCGGAAGGCTAATGATGTGCGTTCTGTTTCCGATCGGTTTCCGAGAGGCTTCTGGGGACATCCGAAAGATGTTGCCGAATTTGTTTCTGAAAGGTCCCAGTACTTTTCCGAAAGGATTCCCAGAGGGGTATAGAGGGTTTTGAGAGATATGGAATATATGGAAGGTTTCCGGGGGGGGTCCTTCCGAGAGGCCTCCGAGCGGGCTCCGAGATGCATCCGCGAGGCATCTGCCTGCATCCAAGAGGTTTTTCGAGAGTTGTCCCATGATATTCCAAGAGGATTGCGATAGGTTGTTGATGGGTTTTCGAGGGTTGCGCAGAAGTATCCGACATGTTTTTTTGAGCTGCTTCCAACAGGTTCCTGATGGGTTTTTGAATGAAGGTTGAGAGGTTTCTGGAGAGTGTCGGAAAGGCACCCGAGAGGTTTCCGATCAGTTCTCGATCGGTGTCTGAGAGGTGTTCGACGCGCTTCCGAACGGCTTCCATGTTTCGTAGGGCAGCGGGATCCGTGCACAGTGCAATGCCGCAGGCCCGGCCTGGCATGGGCCCATGGGGCGAGGTCTGCCTCCCTGGCCCATGGGGCGAGGTCACCCCCCCCTCCTGGACACCCCCCTCCGCTCCCGATAACCGGGAGGGTGCACGCGTCGGTCCTGGGCCCAGGATGGGCCAGGCCTGGGCCGGTGGACGGTTAGGTCCCGTCGCCGTGTTGCTGAGCGTGGTCTGCGAGGTAGGGTCAGCCCGCCTCAGAAGGATGGGCACCCTTCCCAGGGGCACCCTCGCGTCCTGGCCTCCTCGGTGCATCCTTGGCACCTTTCGTGGGCCGCGCCCCGCTCGAGAAGCCTCGAAGTGGGCTTCCAGGGCCCTTGCATCCTTATCCCGCAGCCTTGCTGCACGGCTTCACTGTAGTCGGGGGGGGCGTGCAGGGGGCTTCGGGAGGCTGTCGGGGTGCGCTCGCATGCAGCGGTCGCGATCCGGGTGCGGGGGGGAGCGACGCTGGGGGCTTGCGTGATGGGCATGCCACCGGTGGGGCGGTCAGCTGGACGGTTTGAGGGGCGGGCCTGCCTGGAGACCCTACTTACCCTTGGCGAGAACGGGCGGGAGACGGTCGGGGTAGACAGGGGGCTGGTCACAGACGCGATCGCGAAAAACAATAATGACAATGATACGAATGATAATAATAATGATAATAATAATAATGATAATAATAATAATAATAGTACTAATAGTAATAATAGTATTAATAATAATGATGATAATAATAGTATCAATGCTGACACTGAAATTAATAGGCCAAGCGAATGGTGGGACGTGTCTCGGGCGCGTTTGGGAGGCAGTTGTTGTTCGTCTTGGGGGCCTGCTTTTAGCCTCTTAGCGGTTTGTTGGGGTCCTCTCGGAGCTCCCCAGTGGCTCGTTGGGGGTTTCTTGGGGCAGCCGGGGAGCATGTTGGGATCGAAGGCTCGACATGTCCGTTCGGGTTCCCCCTTTGGGCCCCCTCTTGGTGCCGTCCTGGGGTCCCCCTGGGCCGTCTTGGGGGCTTCTTGAGCGGTCTTGGGGCCCTCTCTGGGTCGTCTGGGAGCCCTCTTGGGGGCCTCTTGGACCCGCTTGGGGCGATCTAGGAGGCTTCTTGGGCCGCCTTGTACTTTGTGAAAGCACAAAGGGCGACTGTGTTATAATGCACGTTTTCCGAGGCAATCTAGCTACTCGTTGCTCTTGGAGACCGTCTTGGGACGCCTCTTGGGAGCTTCTTGGAGCGTTTTGGGGGCTTCTTGGGTTGTCTGGAGGCCAGCGTGAGCGCTTTGCATCGATCTGTTGGTGGCTTGAGGCCCTCTTGCCCTGTTTTTGGGCCCTCTGTCCCCCCTGGACGCGTTCGGCCGCACCCCAGGGGACCCCCACCCCTCCAAATCGACCAGACCGGGCTCCTGGGGCAGGGATTTGGGGAGAGGGAAGCATCTCACATTTCAATGAACCCCAGTGGGTCGGCGAATTTGGGCCAGGCCCCCACCAGGGGAAACGAACAACGTTAACACAACCGCGACTGATGGAGCCGCATTTTCCCCGCGTCGCCGATGCACCGCCGACGTCGCCGATGCATCGACGATGCATCGGCGCCGATGCATCGCCGATGCAGCTTAATTCTCTGACCCCATCTACTCGGACCCCTTTGAGGAGGCTTCTCATAACGGTTGCGGAGGTACGTCGGCCAGGATGTTGGGGAAAAAGAGGGGGACGGACAGAGGAGGGGTAGAGGGCGGAGGGGGCATGGAGGAAGTTCCACATTTGAACAACAACGCATGCGCACAATTTCTCTAAGGTCTGTGCCTGTTTTTGTTAAGGATGTGCGCTGGTGTCCCGCTGGCGGCGTGTTCGGCTTCGCCCTTGGCACGCTCCGCGCGCCAGGGAAGGGGGTCGCGGGGATCTCCTAGAATTGTTGTGTGTGCAGTTGCTTGCTTCTCCCATGCAGGAGGACTTGGGCGCAGGAGGGAGCATGGAGGAGCACCCGAGGAGGGAGCACGAAGCGAAGCGGATGGGTCGGGGAGTGCATGGAGAGAGGATGAGGTAGCGAGACGAAACAGTAGTTGTGTGGGGAGGCGGGTTGGGAAGGATGGGCACGCAGGCGATGCGACAAGCAGTGGCCAAAGCAGGATGTGGCATTTGTGGAGGTGAGCGTTTTTGTTATTCATTACTTTGCCGATCGGCGCGGGCCCTCGCACCCCCCCGGGAGTGGATCTTGGCTGTGATTGGCGCTTGTTTCGAGCGGGTGGAGTCCCTCCCCCATAGGACGCACTGTCGCAAACAGTCGCACTAAGCAGAGGTCCGGAGCCAGACGCCCCCCTCCCCCCCCCCTTCCACCCAATGTCGAAACGACAAATAACAAGCTTTCACTTGGGAGGGATGGGCACGCACGCAGGCGATGCGACAAGCAGTGGCCAAAGCAGGATGTGGCACTTGTGGAGGAGCGAGGAGCGGGATGACAAGCGGCATTTCGAAGCGCCGATCCCAGGAGAGCTGACACGGACGGCCTTGTGGTGTTGTGGCGAGCAGCTCGGCAGCAAGGCGACCGATGGAGGGACCACACAGACGGGTTGGATCGCGGGGCGAGCTCCAGCCGAGCTGCACCTAAGGGAGGGGTACCCTTGCATCCTCGCCTTGTCCGCCCACCCAGGGGAATCATACTCTGCTGATGCCGCTGGGTCAGAAGGGTGGCATTGACTATCAGGTCTGTTTCTGCCCAGCGCCGAAAAACATGTCAGCCATGAGCATCACGATAGGCACGTGTTGGGACAGATGCCGCCGCGACTGTGTGCGTCCAGGCGCAGCTGGGGCCACAAGAGGGGCTATGTTGCATCCTCGGGGCTCCCCATGCGGCAGAGCTTCCGACTGCACCCGTCGCGCCCTCGAGCCGCCGAGGCTCGAATGCAGAAGTCACTCCTCGGCCTCGGCCAGTCTCGTTTATCCGGCCCCCATGGCCCCATCATCATCCCCTTCGAGACCCCCACCAGAGTACCAACCAAGTTGGGGATGCACCCCTCGAAGCGCGAAGGGGACGGCCGATGTCCCCATCCCCATCTAGGGGGGGTAAATCGGCCAGTGGGGCCCAGGCCACGCCGCTGGGGATGGGGATCGGAGAAGCGGTACTCGATGAACTAGCAGGGCTCGTTTCGATTCTTCCGATCCGATTCGATTCGACTTCGATGGTTTCCGATATCGATTGGATTCGACTTGGGATTCCGATTTGGGATCCGATTTCTCATTGGAGGCACACTTGCCTGGCCATGTCCGCCGATTCGACTGTTCCCGACTTGGCTGCCGATTTCCGCCGATCCGATTCATTTCGATTGCCAATCCGACTTATCGATTCGATTCTGGGCTCTCCTGAACTAGAGCCAGACGTTACAAAGCTGCGCGTCCACAGCTTGAGAGCGCTTTGCCTCCACCCCGTGCGCCAGCGCTGCGACGGCGTGGCGTGGCCGGTCGTGCTTCGGCACCGCCTCGCCCCGCAGGGAGGCAGGGCGAGGGAGGAGCGGTGGGAGGAGGAGGAGGAGGAGGAGGAGGAGGAGGAGGAGGATAAGCGGCGTGCGAGGAGGAGGAGGAGGAGGAGGAGGAGGAGGAGGACGAGAGCGAGGAGGAGCGAGGCGGAGGATGACGGAGCGAGGAGGAGGACGAGGAGGAGCGAGGATGGCGGAGCGAGGACGACGGAGCGAGGAGGAGCGGGGCGGAGGACGAGGACGAGAGTGAGGAGGAGCGAGCGAGGGTGGGAAGGTCGGAGGAGAGGGAGTATTGCCTTGCCTCCCAGGGATGCCGTAGGGGTGGCCTCCGGGCGGCACACGCTGGGTCTCGGGTCCCGAGCGCCGCGCCCGCGGGGCTCTCGGAGGCAGCATGTTCCTTCCAGGGGCGTGGCGTGGCGGTTGTACGCCATCGGCGGGGCGCGATGCGCGAAGTTAGATTACCTAGTATTCAATCACGGCTCAGAAGTGACTGATGCGCGTTGGCATTTTCCCTGCACTACCCCGATCATAATCATTTTGAGTTGTTGGTGGCGCAGGTTGTTTGATGATTGACATGGTATTCGCCGGATGACCGAGCTAGACGAGTGGGAAAAGTAGCAGGCTCGCAAGCATGTGCGCTAGTGTTGACTCCCGAGGGAGAGGGGCTATTGGCACACGTGCCTCGAGCATAGAGGTTTGCACCGATGAAGGGGAGTAAGGGAGGCAATATTCTTGCGTTACGAGCTCGGCCTGTTTCACTTCGTCTCCATGAGCTGGTGGAGTGCGTACAACGAGCTGCGTTACGTCTGGGACGCTGCGACATCTTCAGGACACCAGGGTCCATACCACCATCGATGCTGCCTTTATCTTCCCACTTTGTATCCTTCACGCATTCACCTCCCTCTCCTGCTCATTATTAGCCCCTCCCTCTCAGGGAACAGATTTCCCATCTCGTGCGGAATTGCCGTGTGTGGTCTTTCGTTGTTTCGTAATTTGGTTGACCTTTTACCTACCTTCAGGGTGTGGAGAACCACTGGACCCTCGCACGCGTCATCCAGATAGATCGCAGTGTTGGTTTCGCGAGTGACGGCGCGGGCAACGTGGCAAGAACCTCTGACACATCATGATGAAAAAGGAATTGTACGCCCACAGGAGCGATCCAGCCACACACAGTCTACGCCCGGACAAGTACGTTTCGAAATCGCGGCCAGTTTTTCTCGTAACCCATAGGAAAAAGTTTGACCAGATTGCGTGCTCGTCGGACTTAGCGTGCTTCCTCCCTGGTGTTCACTCACCCCCAATGCCCTGATTCTGCAAGTAGCTTTTTGTGGGGAGGAGTGCGAATTCTAGTTGCTATCGCGATGGCATAATCCTCAAACAAAAAGAACTGCCAGAGGCCAGCGATTTCGCGGATCGTGACGAGGCAAGTTTCAGCTAGTTTGGCAAGCTTGCGGGGTGGGGGGGGCGCCCGACCGGGATGTCTGCCCTCAAGTAGGGGGGATGGAGGAGGAGAAGGAGGAACAGGAGGCGGGCAAGGATGGGGGGACGGAAGCGGATGATGCATCAGCGACGTTGCAATACACCCTCCCGTCGCAAGTCACGTTCCTGATTGCTTGCAAGTTATCCTTCTCACTGCAGTGAGCGCCCCCTAGAGCGACGAGCGCCCTGTGGACTTTCAATGCAGGCAGGCGGGAGCCCCATTGGGAGAAAAGGAGTTGCCGTGCACCCTTCTGGCGAGCTGCAGTGAGTGCGAGAGGATCGGAGCTCAAGATCAACAAGGCGTCCAGTGCTTTCCCCGAGAGAACAGCAACCGCCCCGATCCGTGTAGCCAAAAAGGGAAGAACACAGAGGTCACACTTCTGGCGATTGAAATGAAGAAGTACCAAACCAGAGGACCATGTTTGTACAATGGACCGTGATCGTTACGAGTGAGGAATGCTCAAGCCAGATCCCACTGTTGAACATACATCGCCCTACAACTTTGTGTAAATGTGGGAAGGTTTCAAGACGAATGCGTGCGGCGTCAGGGCGAGAGCCCCATCTTGGAAAGGTAGCGGTTTCCATCAGTGTAGGTGTCGCTTGTGTCAAGCGAGTGTTTGCGGTGTGGAGGCGAGAGTCCCGTTTCGAAAAGGTACCACTTCCCATGTGTGTCGGAAATGTTCCAGGCGAGTGTATTTGGCGCTCAGGCTCTGGACATCTCAAGTTTCAGGATCGCAAATGGTAAGGAACTCTCAGGCGGAACGCCCGGCCTGTTCTTCCGACACATTTGGTGGTGCGACAGGGAGATGGAGCAGGATTGTTCCCTCGCCGGGCAGACGACAAGAATTTCTTCCCGTACAAGGCGATCGTCGGCACGCAGTTGGCCGCGGTGGCGTTCAGCTTGGGCCGCGACGAAGAGGCGCGCGTCGGGGATCGACACGCAGCGATGGTCGAAAAGGAGAGGGGAAGTGGAGGGAGGGAGGGAGGGCGGGAGGGTGAGGAAGCAGGGGAGGAGTGAGAGGACATCAACACCAAAGATGTGTTTGGATGGTTGGAGTGCGGTGGCCTTAGGCGCAGTTGATATTCTGTCTGATGTCCGCAGGTTTCCAGGGGAGCCTTCTCGTAGGTCTCGGAGCCTGAGCCCTCCAGTAGTCGCGCCCACCGTGTGCTCTGGAACGGGTCCGAGGTGCGCTGCACGCTTGAGATGCTTCACCAAGAAGTCGGCTTCTGGGAGGTGTGCGGCCCGGACCCCCCCCCCACGTCCCTGAGAAAGGGGTCGGAGATGGAGAGAAAGACCCACAAATGGGGCGGGTATGGATCGGGGTAGAGGGATACAGGGGCAGGGGGACAAGGATAGGGATGCAGTGGAAACCCATGCCAAGATACACCCTGCGTGCCTCCAGGGTGCCCTGGGTTTCTTGGGTCTCGATGGTTTCGCTATGGGAAGCGTGACGCTCCCGCACCAGAAATCAGCGGACGCCCTGGGGTCTCAGGGTTGGGCTTTTTGTGGAAGGTCTCTTGTGGCCGAGCTCCTGCTGCAGGGACAGGGACGGCAGTGGGGGGCCACGGGAGGCAACGGGAGGCAGCGGTAGGCCACGGCAGGCAGCGGGAAGCAACGGGCGGCAACGGTGGGCCACGGAGAGCAACGGGAGGCCACGGCAGGCAACGGAAGGCAACGGGCGGCAGCGGGAGGCCACGGGAGGCAGCGGAGGGCCACGGAGAGCAGCGGGAGGCCACGGGAGGCAATTGGGAGGCCGCGCCGCCCAACCGATTTTTGGGTTTTGCAGTCCACCTATTCTCGAGAGGGAAATAAGCACACAGACACAATGAATCGCCGATCCCCACGAAAATATGGGAAGAGGGGGGGAGGACGAAAACCCAGAAAATATGCGAAAATATGGGGAATCCTTTTATGTGTGTATTTACTGTGTGTCCCAGGCCCCCTTCACTACTCGTTCATTGATTTGGAACCTTGTACAGGCAAGTGGTCAAGAAAACATCGCAGCGAGGCTCTCGCCAGAGATTCCAGCACGCCTTTGGCCCTGTGGGCCGGAGTAGTGCCGTCTGTTCCTCTGCCGCCCGCGGCCAGATCTTCTTCCCCTCCTCCCCAAAATGGGGAGGTGGAATCGAGCTTGTGCGCCAGCATCGTCGTCGTATCAGTTGCTGTCTCTGGGACGCCCGGCACGGGTACGGAAACATTCAGGAGCGACAGGAGGACGTACACGTACATGAATCCACGCTGGTTTCGAGAATACGCATTGCGCAAATGTTCGTATAACGCGGCCGGTCTCGCAGCTGGGCGCGTACGTCCTTTGTGGGCTCCCTAAACATGGACACGATGCCCAACGACAGATGTTGTCCAGAGCCGACGGTGGCTGCTGCTGGGCATGCGGCCTTTCTGTCTCGAGTTGACGGCGTCCTCGGCGACACCGACAGCGAGTCCTCTTCAAAATTAGCATCAAGTCGGGCCTGTCCCTCCACAGGAGGAATGCTCAACAATAGTAAACAAAATAGTCTGGGGACTACTTCTTGAGCACTTGTAGACAATTGGGGGGCATGGTTTGACTATTTTTATTTGTCGTCCAAAATCCCCCTGCAGGGGGACACGCCCGACCTAGAATTAGCAGGAACTGCCATCGGCATTCGTGCCCACTCTTTCCGTACTCGTTTCGATCGTAGGGGGTTTGGTTCGTTGTCGTCGCCTTCGCAGGCGGCGGTCCTCAGCGTGGAGTCCGCGGCTGCGCAGGAGCGCTTCGGCCTGCTGCGCATGGAGGGGGACTTCACCAAGGTCGGTCTGCGAAGCCCCTGGCCCAGGCAGAGAGGACAAACAACTGCATAAACAAAACGTTCGGGGCTCCGCGCGGACGTCTTGGATCTGCGCGGCGTTCCTAGATCTGCGCTGGACGGAGGGAGGAAGGGAGGGAGGGAGGGAAGGAGGGAGGAGCAGGGAGAGGAGGAGGAGGACGAGGAGGACGAGGAGAAGGAGGGAGGAGGGAGGGGGGAGGAGAGAGGAGGAAGGAGGGAGGAGGGAGGAGGGAGGCGGTTTCTTTCACTCCTCGATCCCTCTACCCAAACAGAAAAGGCAGGGCTTTTGTGCAGGCTGGGCCGAGGCGTTCTCCCCTGGGCTCCGCGCGGATGTCTTCGATCTGCGCGGCGTGTTTAGATCTGCGCCAGACGTTGTTGTTTCTGTTCTCTTCGGTCCAAAAAGGAAAACATATCAGGGTTTCTGCGCAGGTTGGGCCAGGACTTACTTCCTCGAGAGGTGTCTCCGTCAACACCCAGGTCCGCTCCCCGTCTTCGGTCGCAGGCGATGTTTCTCCCCCCAACCTGGTGGGCCAATTTCCCACCACCACTGCCATAGGTAGGACGGGGAAAGGAGGATGGGGAAGACCTCCTTCTCATCCTTCTCCCCCTCCTCCTCCTCGTCCTCCTCCTCCTCCTCCTCCTGCTCCTGCTCATCCTCCTCTTCCTACCCATGTTGGTGGTGGTAGAGAATCGGCCCATCACAGCCCCCGGCTTTTCGACAAATGGAGCTGCTCAGAAGAGGAGGGAAACCCTGGAATACAATCCGGGGGGGCTATTCGGATGCACCCCTATCGAGGATGGACGCCCCCCCCATCGTATATCCCAGGGTTGGACCTCGAGTTCCTGGCCCACTCGAGAACCCAACGAAGCCTGGGATCGGAGGTTAGGGTGTGAGATGGCAGTGCAGTGGAATGGAGAGCCCTCCACCCGGAAATCGGTTTCGGGGTCGTGCTCGCGTCTCGCGCGCGGGCAGGGCCAAGCTGCGCAGGCGTGCGCGAGGAACGATGCCGCCGTGGCTATAGGGGCCCCGGCGTGCGGTGGCCGAGGGTGCTCCGTCGATGGCGCGGCGGTGTCCCGTCGGTGCTCCGTGTCCGGCGTCGGTGTCTCGATCGCGCCGAGCCCGCACGTTTGGAACGCGCCGGGCGGGATGACAAATCTGGACGCCCGAAATGGGTACGGAAAGAATGGATACAATGCCCAACAGCGGATCCTGTTCGTTTTGAACAGGACTCGTTGTCCACGCCACCGCGGCTTGTGTCCATTCGAGACATACGGCCGCCTGCCCAACAGCGGCCGCCGTTGATTTGGGACAACATTTGTTGTTGGGCACTGTACCCATTCTGTCCGTACCCATTCCGGGCGTCCAAAAGAAACAACAGCATTTATCGCGACCAGCAGCATCATCACGCGTCGTCGCCAACCCGAGGGCGCGCCAAACTCGCCCGGCAATGCAAGCGAAATCCATGAACTCTGCGCTGTCGGGGCCTCTCGAAGTCCTCTTGGAACCCTCCTGGACCGTCCTGGACGCTTCTTGGGCCGTCTTGGGGCCAACGTGGGCCGTCTCAGAACGCGCTTGGCCTGAGGCTGTGGGGCGTGCCACCCTCTCGTCGCCGCACTGGGGCGCTCGAGGGGGGCCCGAGACCGCGCCCAGGAGTCCCGGCATCTCTAACCCGACCTTGCCAGGGCCTTGCCCAGGTATATTTCGTCCGGGGACCCTGCAGGGGTCGGAGGTTGATAGACCTCCTACCCTGACACGACGATTAAGGAATTGGCCGTTTCCGGTTCGCGAGAGGTCCGTCGGTTTCGGCCCCAGGCCGTTCTCACTAAGGGGAAGTTTACTAAAGGGAGGTTTGTCCACCGCCGAAGGGGCCGCCACGCGCGCGCGAACAAGAAACATCCTTGCACTCTTGCCAGAGATTTTAGCACGCTCTGGCCCGTTGGGCCGGCTAGCATCGTTCGTCATAGGCTGGGCTGTGCCACCGTAGCACTAGACGAGGCGAGCCGAGCGCCGACGAGAGCCTTTGCTGCCTTCACCCCGCTGTGGAGCAACTCGAGGAGCGCCGACGCGAATATCCTACAGATGGCCGAGTGGTACGACTTATCTAGACGCAAGGATCGGGGAAACGTAAGACTCGAGTACGCCGGACCTCGGGTTTGCCGACGCTTTTCGACGAGCCCGCCCTGGATCTTGACGGTCCAGCTTTCGTGGGATGTCTGCAGCGGGAGGTCTCGGGCTGAACAGGACCCCAAGCGAAACGTCTGTGAATTTTGCTATGTTCCGGGTTGCTTATTTGTTTGCTCGATGTCGTTTTTGCGCGCGGTTTCTTTGGCGTTGCTGGACGCTCTTCGCGATGCCGCAGCACATGGTCGGGCCCCGACTCGCCTGGGCCCCGCCGCGGAGTCCGTGGGCCCTGGCCCCAGAATCAAAGGAGATCTGCGCCCTTGAGTCGAGGGCTCTGGACGCGGGGTCCGCGGGGCCCCAAGTACACAGGCCACCCGCGCGCGCTGGGCTTGCCCCCCGAGATGCCACCGGACGAGGCCACCGAAAGCTGCCCCGAAAGATGGCAGCTTCACATCGGTCGAATCATTAGCGAAAGTTGCGTGAATTATCTTCGGTCTTGTTTTTAACAGTGCGGAGCACCATCCGAGGCGTCGACGGGCATGATTCGGAGCCCTTACGCGGCGCGATTCGGAGCCCCATTCGGGACGTCGATGGGCAAGATTCGGAGCAGGAGCGCGGCCGCCGCAGGCAAGATTCGGAGGTGGGATTCGGCTACATGAGGTGCGATCAGCGCCGTCCTCAGCAGCCTCTCAGAAGCATCGGAGGAGCCCCTTGGGAGCTTCTCCGGAGCCTCTCAGGATCATCTCAGACTCTTTGCGCTCGCGCCCGCGCAAAGGCGGGCTCAATGCCCCCCCGGCGCTGCGTCGTGAAATGGAGCGTGCGATTTGTATCTTTCAGATTTGAAGAGGAAGCCGCATTCACATGCCATCTTGGGGGAGCACTTCAGCCCGAGGAGGTCGCGTCAAGTTTCAGATTTGGCCTCGTCATTTTCCTGGCGGCCCCGTCAGGCCAACCCGAGTTTCCCGAACCCCAGTCTTCCGTCTCCCCGAAAGGATGGCGCAGCCTCCTGCGGTTGCCTAGCAGCTCTGCGCGCCAGGCCCGTGCAGGCAGGCGGTGCGCTGCCATTCTGATGCGCCTTCCGCCCCGCTGTCTGAGGCAACGGTATCCAGAGCGGCCAGGATGATAGTTCAGACGTGCGGCCAGGCCCCAATACGGACGAGGTGCATTACTACAATGGTCCTTGCATATTCTTGCCTTTTCTGCCAATCCTGAGCCAATGCCGCTGGCCAACGGTTGCGATTTGGACACCGAAACGCGTTGCGTCCTTCTCTTGCATTCTCTTGATTGGCCCTGGCTGTACTTGATCCTTTCACGTCCACGCCAGCCCGAGTCCAAAACGTGATCCCAACCCAGCGACGCCTCAATTGCTTTTTCTGCGTGGCCGGGTTGGGTGTAATTACCAACTTTCCCAAGGATGCCCTTACATCCTTGCCTCCTCGGTCCATCCTTGGCCACTTTCGTCGGCCGCACCCCGCTCGATAAGCTTCGAAATGGTCGCCCAAGGCCCTTGCATCCTTATCGCACATCCTTATGATGCGGGCCGACTGTATTCGTGGCCGGGGTATATGATGCGTCCGCTCCCGTCTGCGAACATATTCCCACCGCGGCGTCGCCACAGTAGATGTGTGTCCGTTTGTCTGTGTGGGCGGGTGTGTGGGTAGGTCTGGGTCTGGGTCTGGGTCTGGGTCTGGGTGTGTGGGTGCGCGTGCGCGTGCCCGTGCGCGTGCGTGCGTGTGTGCGTGGGGCCCCAGTCGGGGTGGCGCCCGCCCGTCGGAGGCCAGGAGGGCGGGCTCCTCCCCGCCACGCGCGCAGCTCTGGCGCCGCCCGCGCGCACGCGGCGCCCCGCCCTGGGCCTCCCGGCGCAGATGGGGCCGGAGCATCGCGCCGCATCGCCGATGCATCGTCGGAGTTGGACAGACCTCCTGCCCTGACACGTCGATGAGTGAATCGGCCGTTTTCGGTTCGCGGGAGGGCGTCGCGGCCGTCATTTTTGCGGGTCCAGGTCCGTCGGTTTCGGCTCCAGGCCGTTTTCATTGAAGGGAGGTTTACTAAAGGGAGGTTTGTCCACCGCCGAGCATCGGCGATGCATCCCGGATGCGGCTCGATGCCGAGCCCGATTTTCTCCAGGCCCGCGTCGCCGATGCACCCCAGCGATGCGTCGCGATCCTCGGACTCCGATCCCATCCATTCGGACCCCATCTGGGAGGCCTCCGCCCGCACTCCCCGCAGGTCTTGGAGATATTCCTGAGACACCGCGCTCGCGGGAGGTCTCTCTTCGCCTTCGAGGTGATGTATTTCTTCCGGCAGTTTCCCAAGGTGCCGACCGACATGCTGGAGGCTGTTCGGGCACGTCGATGAGCAAACCATTGCATAGACATCAGCTTTCGGAGGCTCGCGCGGATTCCTTGGATCGGCGCTGGACCCGCTTCTTTGGCGCGCAGAGTGCGCCAGGGGCGGCGCCAGAGGCTGCGCCAGAGGGTTCCAGCGCCGATCCGAGAAATCCGCACCGCGCGGAGCTTTGAAAGTACACACAGATATAGACATAGATATGCATCTATATATATATATATATATATATATATATATCCATAAGCATAAATAAGTACATATACATATTTATATCGAAGACGCCTCCCGCGAATCACCGCCGCCCCCTGCCCCTTTGGAAGCGCCTCTGTGGCAGACGGCTGGGCCAGAGCTTGGCCAAGCTATCGGGCCAGTTGTTCCCAGAGTCGGTTTGGAAAGACGTCGGGGAACGCATGGGGGAGCAAGAAGAGGAGGAGGGGGAGGATGAGGAAAAAAGAGGAGGAAGAGGAGGAGGAGGAGGAAGAGGAGGAGGAGAAGGAGGAGGAGGAGGCCTCTTGGGCCCCTCTTGGAGCGCTCTTGGGGCCTCCTGGGAGCTTCCTGGGGGCCTCTTGGAGAGTTTTTTGAGGCCTTTGGGGACTTCTTGGGGGCCTCTGTGGCCGTCTGAGGCGTTCCTGGCTTGTCTGACGGCGTCGGAAGCCGTCTTGGCGGCCTGTCTGGGTCGTTTTGGTGCCCTCTTGGGGCATATCAGGGTTCTTAGAGGCCATCCTGGGCGTCTTGGAGGCCTCTTGGGCCGTTTTGGGGCCTTCCTGGGGCCGTCTTGGGAACCTTTCGGGCCGATCTTGGAGGCCTCTTGGGCGCGCCTTCAGCCGTCGGAATGCCGATAAGAAGCAAAACAAATGCCAACATCTGTCAAAAACCTTCGGAAAATCAATGATTTGGGCCTCCTGAGGCCTCTTGGGGGCCACTTGGGCCGTCTTGGGCCATCTTGAGGCCATCTTAGGCCGCCTTGGCTGCATCTTGGGCCGTCTTGGCGGCATCGTGGGGCCATCTTAGCCGTCTTGGAGGCCATTTTGGCTGTCTTGGAGGCCTCGTGGGCCCTCTTGGGGCCGTCTTGGGGGCCTTTTGGGCCGTCATGGAGTCATCTTGGAGGCCTCTAAGGTGATCTTTGGGGCCTCTTGCGCCGTCTTGAGCAGTCGGATTGCCGAAAAGAAGTAAGTGTCAAAATCCTTCAAACACCTAAGGAAAATCAATGATTTTGGCCTCTTCGGGCCCTCCTGGAGGACCTCTTGGAGGCCTCTTGGGCCGTCTTGGAGGCCTCTTGGGGGCCTCTTGGGGGCCTTTTGGGCCGTCTTCGGCCATGTGGAGGACGTCTCAAGCCGTTTTGGGTGCATCTTGGGCCGTGTTGGAGGCATCTTGGGGCCATCTTAGCCGCCTTGAAGGCCATCTTGGGCGTCTTGGAGGCCTCGTGGGCCGTCTTGGGGCCCTCTTGGGGCCATCTTGGAGGCCTCGTGGGCGATCTTGGGGGCCTCTTGGGGCCGTCTTGGGCCATCTTGGAGGCCTCGTGGGCGATCTTGGGGGCCTCCTGGGCCGTCTTGAGCCGTCGGAAGGCAGAACAGAAGCCAATGCCAACATCCTTCAACAACCTAAGGAAAATCAATGATTTTGGCCTCTTCGGGCCCTCCTTGAGGACCTTGGAGACCTCTTGGGTCGTGTTGGGCCGTCTTGGAGGTTTGTTGGACGAACGTGGAGGTATCTTGGACTCTCTTGGGCCGTCTTAGAGGCCGTCTTGGACCATCTTGGGCGGACTTAGAGGCCATCTTGGAGGCCATAGTGGGCCAACGTGGCCATCTTGGAGGCCATCTTGAGCCGTCTTGGGGGATTTTTTCTGGTTTGAGATCCCTTTTCGGGTGGCCGGCGGGACGGGCCGAAGCTCCAGGGGGAGTTCTTTGGAAAAGAACCAAAACCAGAACCGAAAGGGTCTAGCACGCCGGGCACCCCTGTGGCACGTCAACAGGGGGCGGCGGATCACCGCCGCCTCTTGCCTTGTTGTAAACGCCATGTTGCCGAACGTTATGGCCAGAGGCCTGCCAAGCTATCGGACCATGTGTTCCCCGAATCGGTTTTGAAAGCGTTCGGGGAACACGGTGGGGGAGGCTGGGCCGACTTGGAGTTTTCTTGGCGTGCTCCAGGGTCGTCTTGGAGTCCCCTTGGGCCGTCTTGGGCCATCTTAGGGCCATCTTCGGCCGTCTTGGTGGGCTCCTGGCCCGTCTGATGCCGTCGGAAGCCGTTTAGGGGGGCCTCTCTGGGCCGACTTGGGGCCCTCTTGGAATGCTCCAGGGCCGTCTTGGAGGCCATCTTGGGCGTCTTCAAGGCCTCTTGGGCCGTCTTGGGGGCCTCTTGGGGTCCTCGTGGGCCGTTCTGGGGCCATCTTGGAGGCCTCTTGGGCGCTCTTGGGGCGATCTTTGGGAGCTCTTGGGCCGTCTCGGGCCGTCGGAAGGCCGAAAAGAAGCAAATGCAACAATCCTTCAAGAACCTAAAGAAAATATATGTTTTTGGCCTCTTCTGGTCGTCCTGGAGGCCCTCTTGGAGGCCTCTTGGGCCGTCTTGGGCTAGCCCAGAGCCAACTTCGGCCATCTTGGTGGGCTCCTGGCCCGTCTGACGCCGTCGGAAGCCGTTTGGGGGGCCTCTCTGGGTCGACTTGGGGCCTTCTTGGGGTGCTCCAGGGCCGTCTTAGAGGCCATCTTGGGCGTCGTGGAGGCCTCTTGGCCCATCTTGGGGCCCTCCTGGGGCCGTCTTGGGGGCCTCTTGGGCCGTCTCGGGCCATCTTGGAGGCCTCGTGGGCGATCTTGGGGGCCTCTTGGGCCGTCGTGAGCCGTCGGAAGGCCGAGAAGAAGCAAATGTCAAAATCCTTCAAAAGCCTTCGGGAAATCAATGATTCTGGCCTCTTCGGGCCCTCCTTGAGGACCTCTTCGAGGCCTCACGTGGAGGTATCTTGGACTCTCTTGGGCCGTCTTAGAGGCCGTCTTGGACCATCTTGGGCGGACTTGGAGGCCATCTTGGAGGCCGTCTTGGACCATCTTGAGCGGACAAAATTGGAATTGTGTTCCTTGAGGTCCTTTCGGGTGGCCGGCGGGACGGGCCGAAGCCCCAGGGGGGGTTCTTTCTGGAAAAAGAGCCAAAACCAAAACCGAAGGGTCCAGCACGCCAGGCACCCCTGCGCTAAATCGACAGGGGGCGGCGGATGTATTGCTTTCGGCCCATCGCGCCACCGTGCTTGGGTTGGGGGTATGAAGCTTATTGGATGTTCGTTGGGATCTCGTGGGAGGCGTCTCGGGAGCCTCTTGGAGGCAGTGTGCCTCTTGGGGACCGTTTGAGGGCCTCGTGGGGCCTCTTGGGGGCCTCTTGGGGGCCTCTTGGGGCCTCGTGGGGGCCTCTTGGAGCCTATGTTGGACCTCTTGGGGGCTCCTGGGCGCCTCTTGGTGGCCTCCTGAGGGCTTCTTGAGGCGGAAATCTCGGATGCTCGGCTTGTACTCTTTCTTTAAGGCCCCTTTTGGGGCCGTCTTGGAGCGTTTTGGGCGCTTGTGGGCCTCTCTTGGTGCTCTCTTGGGCAGTTTGGGGGACCTCTTGGGGGCCTCTTTGGTCGTTTTGGGGCTGTCTTGCGGGCCTCTGGGGCCGTCTGCGAGCGTCGGGAATCCGAAATGGCGACAACGCCAACATCCTTCAAAAACCTAAGACAAATCAATGATTTTGGCCTCTTGGGACGCGATCGGACTTGCACTCTGGTTGCCAGTCGGCCCAAGCATCTCCTTCGCGTCCTGGCAAAGGGCGTGAGCGGCGCATCGGTGTGTTCATCTAGATTTGCACGTGCTCCTGGCACTTGAAATCCGCCAGTCCCGCGTGATGCACGACGATGACCGCAGTCACAGACAGGCACATGGGAGCTGTGCAACTGCGACGCAGGAGTAATAGAAAGCACGGAAGAACTGGCATGCACCACGTGATCGTTGTTGTACTCCTTGTTTTGCCGATCGGCGCGGGCCCTGGCACCCCACCCTCTCCCCCCATGGAGTAGATCTTGGCTGTTTCTGGCGCCTGTTTCGAGCAGGTGGAATCCCTCCCCCATAGGACGCACTGTTGCAAACAGTCGCATTAAGCAGAGGTCCGGAGCCAGACCCCTCCACCCCCCTTCCGCCCAATGATGAAACGCCGAATAGAAAACGCTCACCTGGAGCCGTTTCTTTATTGCTTGGGGCATGACGGGCGTCATGGTCCCCGCTCCCCCCCCCCTATGACGTAACGCTCCCCTCCCAGTGCGCTCCGGGCACTGCCGCCGTGCGCATTGGGATCCGCGCAGGTGTCCGCGTAGGAATCCGTACAGGAGTCTGGTCCTCAGTCGGCGTCCTCGTCGCTCGTCGCTCGTCGCTCATCGTCGTCGTGCGCGCGGACGCGGCTGTAGCCTGTTTTGTATTCAGGGCCGATGACGGCAATCATTTGAGGGGGGGTGGAGGGGGTCGATGACGTCACGTTTCGCGCCGGCGGCGTCTGGCAATGCCTAGGAATGGCGGCGGACGGGTACAGCATGTAGGTGGCGATCTGCACCACAACGCCTGTGTACACCGTAGTGCCTGCGTGCACCACAGCGCCTGTGTACACCACACCGCTGTGTACACCACAGCAGCCGTGTGCAACACAGCGTCAGTTTGTGCCACCGTGCTTGCGGGCACAACAGCTCTTGTGTACACCACAGCGCCTGCGTACACCACATCAGCCGTGTGCAACACAGCACCAGTGTACACCACAACGCCTGCGTGCATTGTAGTGCCCGTGTACATCACGGCGCCTGTGTGAAACACAGCAACCGTGTGCAACACAGCACCATTGTTGCATATAGAATGTTAGAAGGAATCCTTATGACAAAATGGAGCGCTTGTGGATTCCACAAAATTCAATAGAAAGGAATCCGTATGGACAAAGGAGCGCCGCTGGAATCTACGAGTCCTCCCGATCCCGCCCGCGCCACCGTAACTCCTCCATTTGCGTCCAGGATGCTCCAGCTAAATTGGCCGTCCGAGAACCAAGTGGACCGATTCAATAGACCATTAATGCAGTGCACGCTGAGATGCACACGTGCGCTGCAGCGCCAACCCGCACGACAGGGGGCAAGAGGAGGAGGAGGAGGACGAGGAGGAAGAGGAGGTGGAGGTGGAGGTCGAGGAGGAGGGAGGACGGAAGAACGTCGCATTCGATTATCATCACTTTCTTGGCGTGGCGTTGAGGTGTCCGCAGCAGATCCTCACATACATGATCCTTTTACTTGTTCTATGCACGCAGGTACTGTTGTGTACATCAGCGCTGCGTTGCACGCGGATGTTGTGGTGTGGACAGGCGCTGTGGCGCGCACAGGCGCTACGGTGCACACAAGCTTTGTGGTGTACACAGGCGTTGTGTTGCACATGGTTGCTGCGGTGTGCACATGTACACCGGCGCTGTAGTGTACGCAAGTACCGTTGTGTACACAGGCGCTGCGTTTCACACGGTTGTTGCAGTGTACGCAGGCGCTGTGGTGTACACGCGCGTTGTGGTGCACGCGAGCGTGGTGATGTACACAGGCGCACTGGGGCAGATCGCCACCTACATGCTGCTCGCGTCGTCGTCGTCGTCGCTCGTCGCTCGTCGCGTCGTGCGCGCGGGCGCGGCTGTGGTGCCGGAGCCACATTGCGGGGGGGGCGTCACGTCATACCCCCCCCCCGCCCCCCCCCCGCCCATGACGCCCGTCATCGCCGAACATAAAGAAACGCGCTCCTGGCATGCACCACGAGTGCCACTTAGTATCGGTAGGTGCGCGTGCAGTGAACAACGAGAGAGAGAGAGAGGGGCCAGGACGAGAGGGTCCGCAGTCCGAGTGGCTGCCGCATGTGACGTTTACTGCATCGCGTTGTCTCTGCTGCTAAGGTCGATATCGTTCACCCAATCCCCATCCCCTTCGAGACCCCCACCAAATTACCACCCCAGTTAGGGATACGCCCCTCGAAACTCGAAGGGAACGACCTACATTCCCATCTAGGGGGGTAAATCGGCCAGTGGGGCCTAGGCCACGCCGCTGGGGATGGGGATCGGTTAAACGATGTTCATCAGGTGCGCACCCGCCCACCCTCGAGCGCCGGATCGAATCAGGCGCTGACGGGAAATCAGTTGCGCACAGTGCCGACTCGTGGCCCTCGCCTCCCCCGTCCTGTCCACCTCTCAGCCGCACGTCCCGCGCAGCCTGTCTTCTCAACATGCGAGAGCAGAGCTTGCATGCGATCTCGAACGAGGACGCGTTCGCAGTGCTCGCACGCACTGGAGCTCAGCGTCATACGGCCATTCCTGGGCGTACGGCTGCCTTGTTGTCGCAGCAGAGGCAGGTGGGCCATGAGCCGTCCTGCAGGAAGCTCGGTCTGGCAGGAGACCCCTCGCTGTCCCCATAGAGGATTTCTTGGATCTGCGATGGAGCCCCATGGCGGCGCCTCCAGCACCGCCCTGGCG